CCCCACAGTCCGGGTCCTCATTTCACCCACCTCGGAAGGATGGAAGGCTGAGTCAACCTTGAGCCGGTGAGATTTGAACCGCTGAACAGCAGATAACAGTCAGCTGAAGTGGCCTGCAGTACTGCACCCTAACCACTGCGCCACCTCGGCTCTAAGTATTGGTAGGAAGATTTGCTTTCATTTTATATTCTACGATTGGTAAAGAATTGGCTTGTATCCCAAGCCCTGGAGCCAAGATGTTGACAGAGCTGATATAGAATGGTTGGTGGAGGGATGTATTTTTTTAATGAAGATCTCAACATAGTTTATTTTGTTCTATGGCAGGGCTATTCAATCTTGGCAATTTTAAGACATGTGAACTTCAATTCCCAGAATTCTGGAAGAAGTCCACAAGTCTTAAAGTTGCCAAGGTTAGACATCCCTTTCTATGGTATTGTGTTTATATTTTGGACACTGTATACTTAGGTTTTGTCGCTCCTTTTATTACATGGGTAGCTATATAAATATGTTTAATAGATGAATATGCTTCATTCTTATTAGCCAGTCTTTCTTCAGATTCCAAATGCAGGACTATCATAGACATCAAGAGACACTATATATAGATGGCAATTTTTCAGAGATTTGATGAAAATATTGTAGATCTATTTGTGTCCAATAAACAAATGGTCATGTTTTTCTCCTAGCTTGCTTAATGTTCTGTTAAAATTAGTTGTATAAAGTGCTTTTAGCTATACCCTGGAAAAGCTGTGAGAAATTTATAGAAACAAATTTGCATTGCTACTCAGATGTTCCAAAGTCCTATTATGATTTTTCTTGATACCTTTCAGATGCTTATCCCTCCCCATCTTCTAACGGTTTTTGAAAATAACTTTCAAAAGCATCTGTTGTCCGTTATCTTAAAACAGTGTTTTAAGAAAACTGCATTTATGTCGGGACATTCAGGACCATTCAGAAAACTCAGATAAAATCCAAATGAAGAAACATTCCCTCCATACATTTTTTTTCAGCAAATTGAAGATTCATTTTGGGGGGGGGTGTGTGAATACAGTCACATTTATAGTTTCATTTGTGTCTGTCTTCCAATTTTAAAGGCCTTTTAAAACTGAATTTTGTCCTAAACAACTTAATTGAAGATTGCATATTGATCTACCCCTTGAATTATTACATATAACCAATGTCATAATAACAGGTGCTCTTAGCACAACTGTCTTGTCAATCCTATGCTTCAGTAGTAATCGCTGAATACCAGGGCCTACAAGCACTTTACAATATTGATTGTTGTAATTTCCTATTCACACTTTCCTTCTCAGATTGCTTGTGCAAGATCTCAATTTTGCAGAGCACAATCTGTATGGATTCACAGTTGGAAATGGCACTCAAGAGCTGTTGACCATTATCAGTTTTCTGTAGTCCGTATAATTTCAGCATTCCTTGTATTATGATGCCTTGCGTGCTTTGGTGAACCAGTTTCCCTATTTTTACAAACCAGTGGAGTGATGCTAAATGGGAGAGAACTGAGATGTACCAGCTGCAGTCCAATATGGTTTCACAGTTTCATAACTGCTCTCTTGAAACTGCAAGTTCTTACGTAGTCTTTAAAAAGAAAATCCCTTTTCCCTTTTGGTGGTATCCCTCTTGGACAAGGTTTGAAATTTACTACAGCAATAGCAATAGCACTTAGACTTACATACCACTTCATAGTGCTTTACAGTCTTCACTAAGTGGTTTACAGAGTCAGCATATTGCCCCCCAAATCTGGGTCCTCATTTTACCCAACTAGGGCGCATGGAAGGCTGAGTCAACCTTAAGCCTGGTGAGATTCGATCTGCCAAATTGCAGGTAGCCAGCAGTCAGCAGAAGTAGCCTGCTGTATTGTGCTCCAACTACTGCACTACCGCAGCTACTAAGATGAATTGGATGGGGTTTTATTTACCCTCCTGATGTTCCCCCTGCATGGTTTACCCTCTATTAGTTCTGGATTGGTGTGCGATCACTCTATAGGCTAATGAGCAGTCTTCTTTTTTCACTAGGAAAAAAGAAGCTTGGTGGATAGATTGATTTGTGAGTAAAAATTCTTACCAAGTTCCATTTTGGGTCAGCATTAAACTTATGATTGAAATTGGGGCCGGAATATTCATTGTAAGTTGTTGCGGTCATAAATCATGCCGGATCCAATTTTGCGACCATTTTTATCATGGTGTTTAAGCAGATCACTGTAGTTGATAAAGTGAATCTGCAGTTGTTAGGTCCAGTCTGCTGCGATAGTAAACTGAGAAAAAGAATCACAAATTGTGATCATAGGACTACAGGATACTGCAGTATCGAAGTGTTTCTAGCAGGATTTCCAGATTCTGTAACAGCTTTGTTCCCTATGCCATCCGTCTGGTAAACTCGCAAGATTCATTTTCTCGCCATGTACATCTATACATCTGAACTAGAGTGTGTTGTTTCTCTGTGTTATATAATACATGTGGGTATATGCATAATTTTGTGTTTGCTTACAGTATCTGTCTTTCTGTCTGTCTGTCTATCCATCTATCTTGTCATGTTAATGTAGTGTATATTGGAGGTCGTGACCTTTGGAGAGTTGTATGCAACGGAATTTCATTTTAAAGTAGGCCGATTAGTAGTACATTCAAAGTGACAATTGAGGACGTGGTGAATCAGTGGCTAAAACGCTGAGCTTGTCGATCAGAAAGGTCGGCAGTTCGATGGTTCGAATCCCTAGCACCGTGTAACTGGGTGAGCTCCCGTTACTTGTCCCAGCTTCTGCCAACCTAGCAGTTTGAAAGCATGTAAAAATGGAAATAGAAAAATAGGGACCACCTTTGGTGGGAAGGTAACAGTGTTCCGTGCACCTTCGGCATTTAGCCATGCTGGCCTCATGACCATTGAGACGTCTTTGGACAGCATTGGCTCTTCGGCTTTGAAACGGAGATGAGCACCACCCCCTAGAGTTGGGAACAACTAGCACAGTGGTTCTCAACCTGCCCTTTGGGGGTCGAACGACCCTTTGACTGGGGTCGCCTAAGTCTATTGGAAAACAAGTATTTTCAATGGTCTTAGGAACCGAGACACCAATTTTATAGTTGGGGATCATCACAATATGAGGAACTGTATTAAAGGGTCGCGGCATTGGGAAGGTTGAGAACCACTGGACTAGCACATATGTGTGAGGGGAACCTTTACCTTTATAATAATGTAAAAAAAAATTCTGCACCTAGTTTCTGTGAGACTGGTATGGAGATTGCTCTGATGGCCAAAATCTGGGAGATTGATTGTGTTTTCATTTTTTCAGCACCACTGTAACTTTGAACAGTTACTGAAAAATTGGATGTAAGCTCGGATACTTTATTTAATTTCCTTTTTAACTTTTGTAATATGTGGTGTTTTTTTTTAATGTTGTATGCCGCCCTGAGTCCTTTGGGAGAAGGGCAGCATATAAATCCAACAAACAAACAAACAAACAAACAAACAAGCTGAGGACTAACTATAAACATTTTTTTTAAAAAAAGAATCTGAAATAGGCTTCCATATTAATGATATGAGATCAGGATTTAAATCATATGCCACAGTGCATACAACATCCTTCAACATGTATGGAGGAAGACCTCATGCTGGTGAGAGAAAATGCTCCCGGCATTGCCCTATACTAACCAAAAGTCATTTAGTTTTAATCCTATTTATTCTACATATTTTTTACACGTGCTATATTTCAGTGACCCATTTTATATCTCTTTTATTTGCTTAGTGTTGAATGTTATATGACTATAATTTGTAGGTGCCTCTGACATGAATAAAGCAGGGGTTTGAATGATGGGCATATGTATCTGGACAGATTTCTTGGTTTCTGCTTTAATCAGAATTTGGAATTGGCTTGCTGAAAGAGGAAAATAGATAGGTCTGTTTATACCGAGGGAAGAACGACTGCTCATTCTTAGAAAAGGAATGATTCATCCTCTCCTCTGTATCTCTTAATTGCTACTGAAATTAATCTCCACTGTTTTTAAAGACAGGAATGGGGAAAATAAAAATGATCCTTTTGGGGTATTGCCCTTCCTCTTCTTTTTAAAAAAAGGGAAATTCTGGGTTTGGGTGGATAGATGTTTTTAAACCCAGAACTTTCTGTGCTGTTTATCAACTTCAGTCTGTTGCTTTGGAAAAGTGATTTCCTTTTTAGTGTGTGGCAACGCTCTAATATTCTGGGTATGCAAACCGATTTCTTAAAACACATTGAGAATCTTGACTGAAAAGTCAAATGTGTGGATTGCCCTTATCCTTGTTGGAGAGTTTATTCACTGTTTCCTCTCTCTTCTATGTGATTGACTGATTATGTGCTATCCAAACTCTTAGCAACTACAGGTAGTCCTTGACTTATGACAGGTTGCTTACAACAACAGACATAGCCAGGGTTACTTAGGACTTAGTTCTGAAGTTCCAATGGCTGTCCTCCCCCTCCTCCATGATCATGTGACTGTATATCAAGCATTCAAGCAACTGGCCCATGTTTATTTCTGTTTGCAGCATCCCAAGGTCACGTGACTGCGTTTGCGATATTTTGGCCCAAATTTGACATTTACTTCTGGTTTTCAACAACACCGGATGTCAGGCTTGGAAGCCATCATTGTATAGGACCTCAAGCCTGCCACATATATTCTATTGTGGGAAACTGGGAGGGGGGATTGTATGGAGCATGGGAGATATGTAGCCACAATAACATTCCTTCTTGGAAAGTCAAGATCGCCTTGACGCTGCACCTGGACGGATGTGGATGGGAGGAAGCTTCCTTCATGGCAATGGCTAATTGGGCCATGTGATAGATTTGTGGGTGTTGGGGCAGAGACTTGAACTTTCAACTGGGTGGGGAAAACCTGGAAGCTTTCAGATTCGGGTTTTCCCAGATGTGCCAACATGGCTCTTTTAATAAATTGGAACTTTGAGGCATTTCTAGCCTTGGAGTGTTATTTATTTGAGGATGCTATTTGAAACCTTGACACTGGCCCATAGTAAATAATTGATTCACTTAATGACTCCTGCAAAAAAATGTCATGTGGGCGACCTGCTTTATGTCTGTCACGACTTAAGACTGTTATGGGCAGATTCCCTTACAGATGTAAGTTGAGGACTTACATCTGTACTTGGATTTTTTTCTCTGAGGATCTTACCTGGTAAGAGCCGAGGTGGCACAGTGGTTAGAGTGCAGTACTGCAGGCCACTTCAGCTGACTGCTAACTGCAGTTCGGCGGTTCAAATCTCACCGGCTCAAAGGTTGACTCAGCCTTCCATCCTTCCGAGGTGGGTAAAATGAGGACCCAGACTGTGCGGGCAATATGCTGACTCTGTAAACTGCTTTGAGAGGGCTGAAAGCCCTATGAAGCGGTATATAAGTCGAACTGCTATTGCTATTGCTATTGCCCATTACCCTTCAAGTATTGATTTGCATATTTTAGATCAGGGGTCTTGGCAACTTTAAGCCTGGAGGACTTCAACTCCCAGAATTCCCCAGCCAGCTTTGCTTTGCTGGCTGGGGAATTCTGGGAGTTGAAGTCTTCCAGGCTTAAAGTTGTCGAGGTTGGAGACCCCTGTTTTAGATGATTTGTGTGGATTTATAAAATAATGCTTCTATCCTTGTGTTTGTTGCTGTTCACAGTTGGGTTTTTAATTCAGGAGTAAAGAAATTTTGTAGAATATTTTAATATAAGGCTTTTAAAAACTATGCCATGTTCTTTTCCATTGGTTTGCATTCATAACTCTTATGTCCTGTATATTACAGAACATTGGCAAAAAGATGTCCTGTCAAGAATTCATCGCCAACCTTCAAGGAATGAATGAGGGTACAGATTTCCCAAGAGAACTCCTGAAGGTGAGGCTCACTCTTACTTCTTATTATCAGAATTCAGTGTCTACTCTACCTTTGCTAACTAACTAGAAGAGATTGCTGTCAAACTGACTAGATTACCTGTCATTTCTATTTCATGTTTTTTTCATGATGATGTGGAAACCATAGTTTCAAGGAACTATTTAATTCGCTAGTTCTAGAATAAAGGAACTTACAAAGGATTTTCTCTTAAAGCAACTATTCTCAAGTTCCCTGCTGAAGAAGAGTTAAAAGTCAGATTCTTCTGCATTTTGTGGCAGAGGAAGTATTCAGCAGGTTCTGACCAGTTCTGGAGAACCGGTAGCAGAAATTTTGAGTAGTTTGGAGAACCTAATACCACCTCTGACTGGCCCCTCCCCCATCTATTCTCTGCCCCCCAAGTCCCAGCTGGTCAGGAGGAAATGGGGATTTTGCAGTAACCTTCCCCTGCCATGCCACGCCCATCAAGCCACAGCCACAGAACTGGTAGTAAAATTTTTTGAATCCCATCACTAACCATAACTTTGTGAGTTTTCCTACCAGTGTTTGCCTTAAATAAGTAAGAATGCACTATAACATTCATTGATGAGGTCATTACTGGAAGATCCCAGTGCCCAATATTATCCCTGAATCCTGACTTATTGAAAGAAAAGAGCAGTTTCTGCAATAATTGTTGAAGACTACATCAGTGCAGCTTTTAAAATATAAAATGGAAGAGTTAAGTACATACCCTGTTTCCCTGAATATAAGACCCCCTCGGCTAATAAGCCCAACCAGGCTTTTGAACGCATGCGCTAAAATAATTGTTGAGGTCAAGCCCCGATTAGAATGAATGTATGTGATGTTGTGATTTTAAACTGTTTTCTTTTTTTTCTCTCTCTCTCTTTTTTTCTCTTTTTTTTGTAAGCTGCCCAGAGTCCTTCGGGATTGGGCGGCATATAAATTTTATAAATAAATTAATAATAATAATAATAATAATAATAATAATAATAATAATAATAATATAAGCTCTCCCCCGAAAAAAAGTCCTCCCCAGAAATATTGCAACATAGCAGCAGCCCTGAGGTGACCACGCTCACCACCTCCTGCACCTCAAAAATAATAAGACCTCCCCCAAAATAAGGCCAAGTGCTTATTTTGGGGGGTCAAAAGAAAATAAGACCCTGTCTTATTTTTGGAGAAATATGGTAAATTCTGAATATTTGCCTCGTATAAACTATTGTCAAATATTGTTCTGGTATCACACCATACACATACATTTGGGAATGGATCATAGCTCTTTTTTCTTCCTTGGCATTGTTAACCACGAATGGAAACGTGCAGTATATGGGTTGATGTGAAACATACCTTTAAATGCATCTTGTTGGGTTAAATTGGAGAAAAAGAATCGGGCTGCCTGAAGTTTTGATCCGTACGTCAGGTCCTCCGTGCAACACTGGAACCTCAAGATTGTTAAGAATTGTGCACGTGGTTCAACAATCAGCAGGGATTGCTTAGGCAGTTTGCTTCTCCATATAAATTGCCTTGGCTGGATTGGAACAAATGTGTGCCCTGAGTGATAATTGAAGGCTAGAAACTGGGTAGGTGTTTTTTTTTTAATCAGACTTCTGATAAAGCTGACTTCTCTGCTGAATATTTATGGTAATAGGTTATAAGAGTGCTTCAGGAGAAAGGTCCCTTTGGGTTTTTATATTTGAATGGAAGTTATAATTTAAGATCAAGAAATATTATATGCAACAAGTGCAGCTTTTGCCCTCTTGCCTATGTACATTTCCTCAATTTGTTCCAGTACCTGATTCTGAATAATTGGTAAAGTTTGGGCCTAGGCAGCTGAACATTTTCCATTACTGGTGATAAAATGAGCATTTCTTTTTCTTTTGTCTGATTTGCTTGCTTTGGAAGCAAAGTGTTAATTGTTAGTGTGTTTGGTTTGTCATGAAAGAAAAAAAAATCAATGAGATTTTGCTCTTTAGAAAGCTAAAATTTTGTTAACATCAGCAAAAGCAGATACCTGCTGATTTTTAAACCAACTTTTTTAATGTGCCACCTCAATAAAAATGACATATATAGTTAGAATAAGAGGGTACCTTGTATGCCTTCTATGCTTGCTAGAAAATGGACTTCATCAAAATAAAATCTTATTGTTTCTGAGATTATTCTAGTTACAGCCTAGAGAACAGGCTGGGGGAATAACATGCTTGGAATTTCCCTGGAAGTTGGCTTGAACCTTCACGGATGATGGATGGGAAATGAATTCTACATAACTAATCTCAAAAATCTGTTTCTGTAATGAAATGGTTTTTAAGTTCTCCTCCATGGACAAATAATTTTTGCTTTATTTGCCTACTGGGAACTCTCTGTATCATATGGCCTTTTGTGTGATGCCGGGCATATTCCAGGAGGTATACTTTGGTTACACAAGGTGTTGGATGTTTCAATAGTGACACCATTCAAATTCAGCAGTAATCATTTCCCCTTCTTACGTGGCAGAGTTGAATTTGATGATTTGTTGTGGCAGATTACCTGCCTTTGTTGGAAACCTGAATGCACTTCTAAAAAACCTCTAAAATCATTGAAAAACCTGCTTTAGACTGAGGGTCTTTATCTTAGGCACTGTGGAAGTTCCATTGTACTTATGAGCAGCTCAAACTGCTTATACAAATGTATCTCCATAAATATATAGTATAGCCTGGTCACTATGGTTTGTTTATAAAGTAACACCAAAGGGCTATGTTTCTCATCTCAGAGCTATAAATGTATCCTGATTCTAAAAGAACAGTGGTACTTTGGTACTTGACTGCTTCAAGACTTGACGAATTTGGTACTTCACGCATTTTGACGTGAAAATGTTGTCGCAGTATTCGGTCATTGTTTAATGCTGATACATTGCTATAGGAAGAGAGGGACAGCTGTGGGGAATGGATAGGAAATCATCCATGCTGGGAAGGTTGCTGCCAAAGGAGGGAGACAGCCACAGAGGGCAGATAGGAAGTTGACCATTCTGGAGGGTCGGTGCCATAGGAAAAGGGACAGATATAGGGGTGGCATTTTACAAATTAGAACCGGTTCAGTTGAACCTATAGCTCCGATAATCAGCTGGGAGCAAACGGGTTCACTCCCACAAGCAAGTGACCCCACCTGCCTGCCCCTGCGCTTTACCTACCTTTATCTTCTCTGCTGAGTCGCACCGCAGAGTGGATTGCTACGCCTCAGCTGTTTTCCTTCCCAATCAGTGCACGGACGCAAAGCGTGCACCCAGGAAACCGGTTGTTAAACCGATAGGATCCCACCCCTGGACAGACAGTTCTTCCATTTTCTTATCCCATTCTTGTGAGTTTTTCATACATGGCCTGAAGTTTCTCACATTATAGTTGTCACAAAAAAATCCATAATCTAAATCCATAATCCAAATCCTCTTTGTTCCTCTTTTATTCCTGTTGACCACAATAGAATTATCAATGTTCAGAATCAGATGAGTAAAAGATTCAGGGAGAGAGATTGTATAGTGACCATACAGAGTATTGCTAATCTCTAAAATTCATCGTTAAAGGACTTGGTGATGAATATAAATTTTGACTTCTTGAAAAGGGAGTTAGATAGATTTCATCGCAGAGAAGACTTTTCTGCTAGTTCTGCAAGCTATTTGCTCCCTTTAGGATCAGACGAAATATGTGGTCTGAGTATTGGCAGCTGGAAGACAATGGTGGGAAAGGACTGTTGCCTTCACAACCTACTTGTAGGCTCCCAAGGAGTTGGTCATGTAGGAAACACAGTGTGGGTCTGATATGTTAGGTGTACATTGTATATCTAATCCAGCTGCGATGCTTTTAAATTCTCTTGAGATATGTGTGCAAATTGTTTGCTAACAGATGTGTATTACCTCTTCTGAGGAGCATTTTTCAAAAAGCTTAATAAAAGCAAGTGCATCAATCATGATTTCCTAAAAAAAGATGGGAAAGGGGCTCCAAAATTTGTGCTAGTTTTTCAATTCCGACTTTTCCCATCGATGCAGTGATTCATATTGGATTCACTTTATCATCTGGCCACTAGATGGCAACGCTGTTGTGTAAATGGCAGACCTTTTACTTGAACTTTGTTCATTCCTCTGGGACCAGAAGAATCTCTGAATCATAGCTTGTTCTGCTTTCCTCTTTGGAAATTTTTCCACCTAGCTAGGTTATATCGAAGGGAAAGTATCATCTGTGTTTCCTCCCAAATTAATAACGCAAGGTTGTCCTAGTCGTATTGAGAAGATATCAACACTATAGGCATTGAGAGAAAAATGGAGGAGCCTCTTCTAAAGCTAATTAGGAATAATGACATTTGTTATATCAAAGCAGCTCAATAGGTTATAATGAAATAAACATCAAACCTGTAAAGTTGGCACTTTTCATCCCACTCCTGCCCCCTGCAGTAAGGGGAAGTAAAGTTGTTGCAACTGTTTATTTTCTAGTTGGGTTGATTCCCCCCCTCCACCCCCCCTCAATTTTGATATTTTTTGTTCCTGAATGGCAGATGTGTATATGTGTTTGTGTGCTTCTCAGTAGATTTTGCTTGTCTGCTAAATGGATGGGATCTAGAAGTAATATTCAGCCGGTTCGGACCGGTTCGGGCGAACCGCTAGCTCTGAAAATCAGCTGGCCCTGCCCACCCATCCCCGCCCTATCCTGTCCTTAATTTCCTGCTTTCTAGCTCATTTCAATGGCATGGCACAGCTGATTTCCCCTCCCCTCGCTTTTACTTACTGTTGCTGACTTGGAAGGTAAGTAGCTGAGCTTCTAAATGCTCCATTTTCAATGTTGCATGCAAGCGCTGTAGGTATGTGCGTATGCAAATTGTGCGCTCACTGAACCGGTTGTTAAACCGGCAACATCCCACCACTGATTGGATCCTTTTGCTTTCGGACCCAACCTAAGGTATTACTAAACTTAGTAGGCTCTTAATGGTTCTGTAGTAGGGAGAGTGCATGGAAATTGCGCATGTGCTATTTGGGAGAGAGAACGAAA